CCTCAATAGCCTTCACTGCTGCGCCCTCCGTACCCCCTCACTTGACAACTGTACTGTTGATGGGGCAGGTGATTCATGGATCACCACTTCTTCCGATTCCCAGGAGGAGCCACCCCCTCTTCACTCCACATGCGACCACGCCCTCCCCCTTGCACCCGTTCTTCTTTAGCATCGGGGGCTCATGTGCAGGTCCCTCCGCCCCTTGCCGGCCCAAGGAGCCACTGTTGATGGGCCAGGATTCATGGATCACCCTTCTTCCAATTCACTGGAGGAGCCACTACCTCTTCACTCCCCATGCGACCACGCCCTCCTCCTTTCCCCGTTCTTCCTTAGGCATCGGGTGCTCATGTGCAGGTGCTCCGCCCCTTGCCACCCCAGGAGCCATAACTCCGCTTCCCACAGTCTGCCGCCATATGGTCAAATCGCCACACAGTCGGCACGTACGTCTCTGCCCTGCATACGCTACCATTACCTGGGTTTCTAAACTCTTCGAGATATACATACGAGGGTATAGGATCCCAAAGCGTCATCTTGAGATTAAAAGAACCCTCAGGAAATCCTGTGTAAGCCCCTTTTTCCCCATTTGCCAGGTTGGGCCGATGTACAGTTCCATAACGTTCGAAAACATTTCGAATATCTACCTCTTTCAGCCTCAAAAGGCACGTTGCGGAGCTTAACCCACGAATAATGTCGTGATACATCAATCAACTTGCCCCTCACTGCCGGTGTTACATTAATGTGACATCTTGGTAACGATCAACCAAAGCCTCGTATACTTGAGCAGTTAGCACTTTTACGAAAATTCTATATACACCGTTCAGTGCCACTCCATATAAATCCTCGTCTCTGATGCCATATGTCTCTCGTATAATTTTGGGCAATAACACATCGACTGACGTAGGTGTTAAAGCCCCACAAATAAGTTCAATGCCCACAGTATTCTTCTCCTGCGCACACCTGGCGCCATGTCGTTGACTGATTAGCTCGTCTGGGAAACAGTTTGAGGGGTGCAAAGCACGACCGCACTCTACCCCATCCGGCAGCGAATGACAACAGCTCCCCCTACCACTGCTGTCGGTTACTGAGGAGCTTTCGGGCCCAAGGGGGTCTGCACGGCCCCCAATAGCGATGCGGGACAATGACGTCTTCTGTTTTTTCTCTTTGGGTTTGAAAAGGTGACCCTCACTGTCACCCAAAGGAAGTTTTGGGGACTGTGATTTCGAGTGTTTTTCTGTTTGACCAGAGCCCCACACGTCCCCTTTCTGGGGGGGGAAAAGAGGGGGGGGGGGAAGGGGATAGCGGGAGCCTAGACTGACCCTCCCTTTAAAAATAGTAGCCGGCAGTAAAACCCATCATTTTGGGGGAAGGGGGAAAGAAAGGCGGGAGCTTGATTTTCCCCTACCTTAACTAGAAAGGCCGGCAGTTGAAACTATCGTTACTAAAAACGTTTAACTCCTATCTATTGAACTTTTCCCTCCAACGAATTTTCCCACATCAGAGCCCAAACAAAATATATCCCCTAGGTTTGGAAAAAAAAATTCGCCTCTTCTTTCTCTCTGTCTTTTTTTCTCTGTCTCTCTCTTTCCTCTCTCCCCCTCTCCCCTTTTTCCCCTCTCTCTCCCCTTTTCTCTCTCTCCTCCTCTCTCTCCTCTCTCTCTCCTCTCTCCCCCTCTCTCTCCTTTTCTCTCTCTTCTCTTTTCTCCTAAACTTCCCTGTTCCCCGTAAGAAAGATCAATTTTACACAGGCTCTCCCGGGGGTGATTTTTTTTTGAAAGATCCTTGAGTATTTGCCACGACCAAGGCACCCCGGGGGGCGACGTGAAATTTAAAACTTTTATATTCATGGTGGGGAAGGCAGGGAAGAAGAGAGGGAGAAAAAAAAAGATTGATAATAGGAAGAAAGAAGAGGGGGAGGGGAGAGAGAAAAGGGGGAGAGAGGGGAGAGAGGGGGGAGACAGGAGAGAGAGAGAGACAGAGAAGAAGGCCCCGTATTTTATGTAAAGTTTTTCCCATTTTTCAGTATTTTGTACCTTCCCACGGACTCCCTGTTTCTTCTTATTTTCCCAAAACCCACAAAACCCCAAACCTTTTTCCCCAAAAGGACCCACTACGGCCGAAAGGGTGCAACGTAACCGCAGGTTGCCACGGCCCCACGAGGGCACGCTGCCCCATTCTGAACAGCTGACCTTCTCCCTTAAGGTGAACCCCTATGGTGACCTCTTTCCCGTTGGGCCCCTCGAGAAAATTTAGTTTGGGGAGGTGAGGTCATGGTTTGAGGGCCCGAGGTCAAATTGTTACAGAGTTTGAAAGGGAAACGTTGAATAGATGTTTCTTTTAAATTTGACCTATAATTGAATGACTTTTTATAAAAGTAACTGATTTTTTTAAAAAATAATAACAATAGTAATAAATAATTACAGTTTACATAATAATATTTGATAACATTATTTTGTAGCATAAGTATTTAACAGTGACAAGCATATACAGTAGACCGTCATTTAACACGGTAGTTACTGAAAATGCTGTTAGGTAAAACCGTGTGAGATGAACTGAAGAACTTATGGGAAAAATAGGGTTACGGTCCTGGGAACCCTAAAAAAGCCAAACAACTTTTTTTTAGACCTCCAGATCTTACAAAAATAAAAGTGAATATGTAGTTGTAGCTCATTGTTGTGATGTATTATGTTTTTTACTGCTTAAGACTACAAATATAACAGAAATAATAGTATTTCTTACTTTAATTAAATTGTGGGTGCTAGTGTTTGTCGATGGTTGTGAAGAGAGTTGAGAGTTATGCTGTGGCCCTACTGGGCTGAGGTGGATGGTAGAGATACTGGTACTGAAGTCAATGACTGTACTGGAGTGTGCATAAATTCTGTAATGGATTTCTGTTCTATTTTACCCTGATGGTAAGGCATCAGCTGCTCTAGACATCATTTCAGGGTCCTCTTCAGTGAAAAAGTCTAACTTTAAGTCATTCAGTAAGTCAGTCAGTCTGTCAAGTCATTCAGTCTGTCAGTCAGTTAAGTCTCTCAGTCAGTCAAAGTCAGTCAGTCAAGTCAGTCAGTCAATCAAGTCAGTAGTCATTCAGTCAAGTCAGTCAAGCCAGTTAGTCAAGTCAGTCAGTCATTAAGTCAGGTCAGTAAGTCAAGTCACTCAGTCAGTCAAGTCAGTAAGTCATTCAGTCAAGTCAGTAAGTCAGTCAGTCAACTTAGTAAGTTATTCAGTCAATTCAGTAAGTCATTCAGTCAAGCCAGTAAGTCAGTCAAGTTATTGAGTAAAGTATTCAGTAAACTCAGTAAGTTAGTCAATCAAGTCAGTAAGTCATTCAATCAAGTCAGTCAACCATTCAGTAAGTTAGTCAATCACACAAACTCATATTTACCTCGTTTTATGTGCACAAATTGATGCTTCATTATGGCCACAGGTTATCTTTTGTCTAATACAGTGGTACCTTGACTGCCTTGAGTGCCCCAACTTATGAATTTTCCGAGTTACGAGCCATCGCTCTCGCTCTGTCGATTTTTTTGCTTTGAGTTGTGAGCTAAAATCCGAGTTACGAGTGAGCTACAGATTTGCTGCCACTAATTGGCGGCATATCTGAAGTCAAATCCAACTCTGTACCCAGAGGAATGTCAGGTACTTCATCCCATCTCACATGCTCTTCCAAGACATAACTGGAAGGATAATACTGTCACACTAATCCCAGATTGTAGTGAGGTACATCATCCCTTGTTTGGTTCTTGTATAAATCTGGGGAAGAGGTAACCTCTATTTCAACAGAGATTTTCCAGAAACATTAAGATGGGTGGAGTAATGATAATGGTGGGTGGAGTAGTCATGGTGGTCAGTGGAGTAGTGATGGAGGTGGGTGGAGTAGTGAGGGTGGTGGGTTGAGTAGAGAGGGTGGTGGGTGGAGTAATGAGGGGTGGTGGGTGGAGTAGAGAGGGTGGTGGGTGGAGTAGTGATGGAGGTGGGTGGAGTATTGATAGTGATGGGAGTAGAGTGGGTGGTGGGTGGAGTAGTGAGGGTGGTGGGTGGAGTAGTGAGGGTGGTGGGTGTAGTAAAGAGGGTGGTGGGTGGAGTAGTGATGGTGGTGGGTGTAGTAAAGAAGGCGGTGGATGGAGTAGTGATAATGGTGGGTGGAGTAGATATGGTGGTGGGTGAAGTAGTGAGGGTGGTGGGTTTAGTAGAGATGGTGGTGGGTGTGGCATACAATATTAATTATAAATACATTTTTCTTATTTAAAACCCGTAACCAAAAAATTGGGGTGGGTTTTTGGAGGCTGGAATGGATTAATGGCATTTCAGTTAATTTCAGTGAGGAAAATTGATTTGATATACGAGCAAATTGAGTTACGAGCTCGGTCATGGAACGAATTGAACTCGTAACTCAAGGTACCACTGTATCTGTTTTCTTCGTTAATTCTAAGACTTAAATGCTTATACCTTTTCTTGCCACTTTCAGCAACACTGATATGCCTACTGGGTGTCATGATTGCTTGGCAGATACAAGATATGGTAATTAAAAGATCAAAACACAATTCACAAACACAGCTAGCTTGTAGGAGAGAAGTGGAACTGAACACGTTTTCACTAATGCTGGGATTGTGGTGTCGGGGGTGTCGGGGATGGGGGCAGGATATGGTGGGAGGTCTTCCCCGCTGACCCACAACAAGGCGGCAGCTTGAGGTAGGGAAATTTTTTCCCCTCCTGCAAACTGAATCTTGTTAAATTAATTTTACGAAGTGTTGTATAAAATTGTGCCACAATTCTCCAATCGTCCTGTAACCAAATCGTGCCAAATAAACTTGTGTAAAATGACGGTCAACTGTATATACACCGAGAGGCGTATGTCTTATTGTGTATACACTGAATGTACTTCAGTTAGTTATTAAAGTATCTTGACTGGTGGTGGATGGGACATGCAATTATTAAGCCTCTCATCATAATGGATAGTCTTGAAACCCCCATTAACTCATCACTGCTGTGTTGCAGGTTCGTGTCGCACACATCGGCAGGGTGCCCTGACGGCCACATGCAGATCGAGGAGCTAAGTCGTCCCCTCAATGCTGGCTTCTGGTGTGGAACATCCTGGGGACACAATGTTTACTACTCTGAGACCACTGCCATCACGCTCATGCTGAGGGTCTTCAACGTCAGCAACACCACCCCAGGCATGACCAACCCTGGATCCTTCCTTCAGCAGGATACAGTTATGCTCCGACTCTCCTATAGGTTCCTGCGCAAGGAGAGGGCCGTTCTGCGCTACGGGGCGCCTTACAGCCCAAGTTACAGGGGTGAAGACCTCCCGAACTCCTTCTGTGACAAGTACTTCGAGAACTGTGACAAGAAAAACTGCAAGATCCAGTCTCCCAATTTCCCAGGGATGTACCCCCGTAATCTGACTTGTTACTACCACATCCGTCAGACGCGCGTTCCCGACGGCAAGGTAGCGCTAGTGGCGGTGTTCCAGCGCAACCCTCACCTCATCTACATCAAAGACCGCAATGCCCCGCATCTCTCCCGGGAGCGGCGCCTGGAGGTGGGAAACTCCTGCCATATCCTTCACGACTACTTGGTGGCCTACGATGGGAACACAACAAGGGCGCCGGTGCTAGCTAAACTGTGTAAGGGTGGAGCACCCCTCTCAGAGCTGGTTGCTAGCGGACCAGATATGCTCCTGCTCTTCCACGCCTCGCCCTTCGACTTTCCCTTCCAAGACTCACCTCGACGTCGAACTTTCGGCTTTGAACTGGACGTGGCTGTGGAGTTCGTGGACCGCGAATCGACGGCCTATGTCCGCAGAGGGTCTGAATGTGAGTACGAAGCGAACAGTCAAGGACAGCGAAGCGGGTACGTACAGGCTTCCGCCCACTCGTTGCTCCCTAACACCACCTGCATTTGGAGACTACTGGCTGGCACTACGGAGATTGTCTGGCTATATTTCCTGCACTATCGCCATGTAGCACACCCAGAGATGCCCAAACCAGCACAATGCTCCAACACCCTCAGCATTTACAATGGGGACGCCGTCCTCGGCGTTGACACCAACAGCAGCAATCTCTTACTGGGCAGGTTCTGTAAGCCTGACAAACTACCTCGAGTGTGTAGTGGAGTACATGCCCCTGGACCTTACTCTGCACCTTGTTCCCCTCACGAGAGCTATGTCTCCACCATGTCATCAATGACCTTATCGCTACGGTACGCCGCCGGTACAGCACCCTCGCATGTGGAGTTCCTTGCACGGTACGAGTTTGTTGACACCCGCCAGTGGGGTGATCCAACCCCCGACGGAGGCCCCTGCGACCGCACCTTCAGTGTGCGCCCTGACCGGCTCTTCGCATCTCCCAGAGATGTGTTTATGTTCGGACGAGGAGGTGCCAACAGGCTGCGTTGCGTCTACACCTTCCAAGTAGCTCCGTATCAGCGGGTATCACTGAGAATCTTGCGCTCCAAGATGGGGCCAGAATGCACAACTGTGTACCGCAACTCGTCACGAAGGCATGAATGTTCCCACGGAGGAGAACCGGGCTACCCGGCCATCAAGATCAAAGAGGAACCGTGGCTCAGTGTACTGGTGGAGCGAGCCTGCCTCTGTAACGTCTCCAACGGGCGTCACTTCAGCCTGGTGTCCTACACTAACATGATACAGCTCACCTTTAGTGTACCTTACATGTCCCCGACCAATGACTACAATGATTATTACTTCGAGGGAGAATATGCGGTGCTGGAGGCGCCGCTGGAGGTGACGGATGGTTGCAACGAGACCACACGTCACTTGAGCGGCCGCTACGGCAACTTCACTGTTGGGGCAGGACGGGGGGACCTGTGCGCCTCCCTGCCACGCCTCATCACCGCCGCAGACACCTCTTTCATCTTTATGCGTGTGAGAGGCTTTAGCGCCACCGAGACCAACTGCCAGGTGGCCTCCCGCATCAACGTGTACGCTGCTGGGGGAGCCACACCCATTGCTTCCATCTGCCCTGAGCGGCGGGATGTGTATACCCATGTCTTCAGCAGTGGCTGGGAAGACTTCGAGTTTCAATTCCAGTACGAAGAAGATACTTCCCTCTACCAGAACACCAGCACTTTGCTCACCACCAGCCTCGCTACCTACATCGAGGACTACGATCAATCTGAACCCAAACGTCTGGAGTCACGGGACCTTGTAGTGGAATACGTCGGCAACTACTCCGGTCGCTTCTTGGTGACATGGATCGGTATTTGGAGGCCACTGAAAATGCCCCTGCTGGTGAGCAAGGCTGCCGACCCATGCCCTCACCGGTGCCCGGATATCGCAGCGTGTCTTCCCAAAGACTTGTGGTGTGATGGAGTCTCTCACTGTCCCTCTGGCTCCGACGAGGGTGCGGCCGCATGCGGTCTGCTGGCCACACTACCCTGGGTGTATTTAGTGGCCGCTGGCGTCTTGATGCTCTCTCTAATATCCCTTTTCTTCGCCGTGGTGATTCACAGGCTCCAGGCCAGGACACAGAAGGTGGTGGTAGCGGCTGCGACAGCGGCTGTCAACAACGGGACAGGACTGAAGAGTACCACACAGGACCTGCTACTCCCGCCAGAGAACGACACCTGGTGACAACGAGCCCATGCTGACGACGTCGTCTGTATTGACTACGAGACCACCGTGTGAAGCCCCGACGTGTCTCTCTCCCTTCCTTCATGTCAGCCACCTGCCGGCTTCCCGCCACACCACTCCAACTTCCTTACAGAAGTGCCTATTAGATTCACAAGTATATTCCCCCCACTCCTCTTGGAGGATGGAATCTGACAGGCTATATAGCAAGACAGATTAATAACTGTATGAAAAACGTTTGAAAACTCAAAACGCTTTTATCATAGCATTACTGAAGCAGACAAATAAATGACAGGTACTATATGACAGATACTACATGACAGGTACTAAGGTTAATCATGTCCTGAGTAACTGTCAATAAAATGTAGACCTAAGCAGATCTAGACATATCTATTCACGTATAATTGCAAGTAGGCCGTGAACAAGCAGTGACAGATTTATGTGAAAGATTGATATTTTTCAACGAGGATAAGGAATACTGAACATGTACAAAAGAACATTATTTTGGTTATAACTATGAACAACTGTTGTGTAAATTGATGCTAGAAGCTGAAACATTGGGATCTCCAGAGGGTTGAAGAACTGAATATACATTTCTGGGTTCAATTGGCAAGGCAAAGAGAGAGTTAGAAGCAGGACGGAAGTGAGCAAGAAGTGTTGTTTAGGTTAGGATAGGTTAGGTTAGGTTAGGTTAGGTTAGATTAGGTTCGTCAGGAAACAGGACTAAGTGTTTCCTGACACGGGTCTTGTTATATAATGACCCACGGGCGGGTTCTATCCCTGCCCATGGTTAGGTATGTTTGCAATCGTGTCATTATGATTTCGTGAGTCAGTCGCAGGCGTGAGTCAGTCGCAGGCGTGAGTCAGTCGCAGGCGTGAGTCAGTCGCAGGCGTGAGTCAGTCGTAGGCGCAGAGAAGGCGAGGATAGAGACAGACAGGGGATGTAAACAACTAGGGACAGGAGCAGACAGGAAGCAGACAAGTGTAGGGGAAGGTAAGCGGGGCAGGAGGAAGAGGAAAAAGGGTAGGAAGGGGGGTAGCAGGCGGGCTGTGCAGGCGGGCGGGCAGGCGTCAGGCGGGAAGGCAAAAAGGCGTGCGGGCGGGCAGGCGTCGGGCAACAGGCAGGCAGGCTGTGCAGGCGGGCATGCAGGTGGGCAGGCTGTGCAGGCAGCGGGCAGCTGGCAGGCAGGCAGGCAGGCAGGCAGGCAGGGGGGCCGCGGGCAAGAGCAGGGGCAGCAACACAGACACTACCACCACGTCTCCTACGCCAAGACAGACGTCTCGCCAGGATGGGAGTTTCACACCCTCAGCAACTGGGTGCGGCGGCAGCGGGGCAGCGGCGGCAGCGGCGGCAGGGGCCCGGCAGCGGCGGCAGGGCGGCGGCAGGGGCGGCTGCTATTGCGGCTGCTGCGCTTCGCTCAAACACCGACAATCTTCTTTTTTGACCCCTCATCCCACTCAAATTGTGTTTCCTACCCACCCCCTACCCCCCCCTCACCCCACTCTCCCTCTATTCTACCCCCTCCCCCAAACCCCATACCACCCCCCTCCACCCTAACCCCCTTTCACTCTCACACTCCAACTCTCACCCCAAAAACCCCATCACCCCTAACATCAAGAGTTTAATGTACAGATCGTTTAAAACTGCCCAATATGACAAAGTTGTTAAGATGTAATACCGGGGGGCGCTACCCCCCGGGAAAAGACCACGGGGGGCCTCACCCCGGGGAAAAAACCACGGGGGGCGTACCCCCGGGGGAAAAAACCACGGGGGGCGTTTCCCCCCTGGAAAAAACCCCGGGGGGCCCCCCAAAAGGGGTACCCCGTGGAAACACAGGGGGCGCTCCCCCCCGTGAAAAAACCACAGGGGGCGCTCACCCCCTGGAAAGACCACGGGGGGCGCTCACCCCCGTGGAAAAAAACCACAGGGCCCCCCCCCCGTGGAAAGAAAAAAAAGGGGCGCTCACCCCCCGGGAAAAAACCCACAGGGCGCCACCCCGGGAAAAGAACCCAGGGGGGGGCCTCACCCCCGGGAAAGAACCACAGGGGCGCTACCCCCGTAAAAAAAACCACAGGGGCGCCTTTCCCCCGGGAAAAACCACGGGGCGCTCACCCCGGGGAAAGCCCACAGGGGCCTCACCCCCGGGGAAAGAACAACAGGGGCGTACCCCCGGGAAAGAACCACGGGGGGCCACCCCGTGGAAAGAACCACAGGGGAAACCCCGTGGAAAAAACCCACGGGGGGCGCTCACCCCCGGGGAAAAAACCCACAGGGGGCCGCTCACTTCCCCCGTGGAAAGAACCACAGGGGGCGCTCACCCCCCCCGTGGAAAGAACCAAAAAGGGGGGCTCACCCCCGGGAAAGACCACAGGGGCGCTAAAAAACCCCCGTAAAGAACCACGGGGGGCGCTCACCCCCGTGGAAAAACCACAGGGGCGCTAAAACCCCCGGGGGAAAGAACCACAGGGCCCCAACCCCGGGGAAAGAACCACAGGGCGTTCCCCCCCGTGGAAAGAACCACAGGGGCGCTAACCCGTGGAAAGAACCACAGGGGGCACTCACCCCCGTGGAAAGAACCACAGGGGCGCTCACCCCCGTGGAAAGAACCACAGGGGGCGCTCACCCCCGTGGAAAGAACCACAGGGGGCGCTCACCCCCGTGGAAAGAACCACAGGGGGTGCTCACCCCCGTGGAAAGAACCACAAAGGGCGCTCACCCCCGTTTAAAGAACCACAGGGGCGCTACACCCCCGTGGAAAGAACCACAGAGGGCGCTCACCTCCGTGGAAAGAACCACAGGGGGCGCTCACCCCCGTGGAAAGAACCACAGGGGCGTTACCCCGTGGAAAGAACCACAGGGGCGCTCACCCCCGTGGAAAGAACCACAGGGGGTGCTCACCCCCGTGGAAAGAACCACAAAGGGCGCTCACCCCCGTTTAAAGAACCACAGGGGGCGCTCACCCCCGTGGAAAGAACCACAGAGGGCGCTCACCTCCGTGGAAAGAACCACAGGGGGCGCTCACCCCCGTGGAAAGAACCACAGGGGCGTTACCCCGTGGAAAGAACCACAGGGGCGCTCACCCCCGTGGAAAGAACCACAGGGGGCGCTCACCCCCGTGGAAAGAACCACAGGGGGCGCTCACCCCCGTGGAAAGAACCACAGGGGGCGCTCACCCCCGTGGAAAGAACCACAGGGGGCGCTCACTCCCGTGGAAAGAACCACAGGGGGCGCTCACCCCCGTGGAAAGAACCACAAAAGGGCGCTCACCCCAGTTTAAAGAACCACAGGGGGCGCTCACTCCCGTGGAAACCACAGGGGGCGCTCTCCCCGTGGAAAGAACCACAGGAGGGCGCTCACCCCCGTGGAAAGAACCACAGGGGGCGCTCACCCCCGTGGAAAGAACCACAGAAGGCGCTACCCCCGTGGAGAGAACCACAGAGGGCGCTCACCCCCGTGGAAAGAACCACAGGGGTCGCTCACCCCAGTGGAAAGAACCACAGGGGGCGCTCACCCCCGTGGAAAGAATCACAGGGGGCGCTAACCCCGTGAAAAAAACCACAGGGGGCGCTCACCCCCGTGGAAAGAACCACATGGAGCGCTCACCCCAGTGGAAAGAACCACAGGGGGCGCTCACCCCCTTGGAAAGAACCACAGGGGGCGCTCACCCCCGTGGAAAGAACCACAGGGGGCGCTCACTCCCGTGGAAAGAACCACAGGGGGCGCTCACCCCCGTGGAAAGAACCACAGGGGGCGCTTCGAAAGCGAATTTTTTTATAGCAATTCGCAAACACAAACTAAAACACAAAAAACATTTCTTGTGATGTCAATGTTTATAGAAATTTATATATATATATGTATATATATGTATATATATATATATATATATATATATATATATATATATATATATATATATATATATTATATATATATATATATATATATATATATTAGAGTTATTTTTGTTTTCAAATTCTATGAGAAGATTTAAGTTTGATTTTGAAGTTACTGTTAAGAGATATTTAGTGAAGTGAATGTTGGTACAGAGGCGCCCCAGGTCCCCAGGTCCCCAGGTCCCCAGGTCCCCAGGTCCCCAGGTCCCCAGGTCCCCAGGTCCCCAGGTCTCCAGGTCCCCAGGTCCCCAGGCTCCTAGGTCCTCTGGTTCTCAGGTTCCAGGTTCACTGGTCCCCAGGTCCCCAGGTTTACAGGTCCCCAGGATCTAGGTTCACAGGTCCCCAGGTTCACAGGTTCACAAGTCCCCAGGTTCTCAGGTTCACAGGTCCCCAGGTCCCCAGGTCCCCAAGGCCCCATGTCTCTAGGTCTCATAGTGCCCAGGTCCTCAGGTCCCCAGGTCCCAGGTCCCAGGGTCCCCAGGTCCTTAGATCCCAGGTTCCAAATCCACAGGTCCCCAGGTTCACAGGTCCCCAGATTCACAGGTCACCAAGTTGTAGGTTCATAGGTCCCCAGGTTCCAGGTCCCCAGGTCCCTAGGTTCCAGGTTCACAGGTTCCCAGGTTCCAGGTTCACAGGTCCCCAGACTCCAGGTTACCAGGTTCCAGATTCACAGGTTCCCAGGTCCCAAGGTTCCAGATTCCCAGGTCCCAAGGTCCCAGGTCCCAAGGTCCCAGGTTCCCAGGTCAACAGGTTCTAGATTCCCAGGCCCTCGGGTCCCCAGGTTCCAAATTCCGGTTCAGGTTCCAGGTTCCCAGGTTCCAAATTCACAGGTCCCCAGGTTCCAGGTCCCTAGGTTCCCAGGTCCCCAGGTTCCAGGTTCTCAGGTTCCAGGTTCACAGGTCCCCAGGTACCAGGTTCACCAGTCTCCAGGTCCCAAGGTTCCAAGTTCCCAGGTTCCCAGGTCCCCAGGTTCCAGGTTCCCAGATTCCAGGTTCCCAGGTCCTCAGGTTCCAGGTTCCCAGGTTCACAGGTTCCAAGATCTCAGGTCTCCAGGTTCCAGGTTCCAAGGTCCCCAGGTTCCAGGTTCCCATGTTCACAGGTTCCAAGATCTCAGGTCTCTAGGTTCCAGGTTCCAAGGTCCCCAGATCCCCAGGTTCCAGGTTACCAGGTCCCAGGTTCGCAGGGCCCGATGTTCCAGGTCTCTAGATTCCAGGTTCTTAGGTCTCCCGGTCTCCAGGTTCCCAGGTTCCAAGTTACCAGGTTTGCAGGTTCCCAAGTCGCCAGGTTCCCAAGTCTTCAGGTTCAGAGATTCCAGGTCCCCAGGTTCCAAGTTCCAGATTCCAGGTCCCCAGGTTCCAAGTTCCAGATTCCAGGTCCCCAGGTAAAAGGTCCCCAGGTCCTAGGGTTCCAAGGTCCTCAGGTCCCAGGTTCCCAGGTCCCAGATCCCAAATCCCCAGGATCCAGGTTCTAAGATCCTCAAGTCCCAAAGTTCCAGGTTCCCAGATCATCAGGTTCCAGGTTCCCAGGTTCCCAGATCCCCAGATTCCAGACTCCAGGAACCCAGGTCCCAGGTTCAAGGTATCAGGTCCCCAGGTCCCATGTCCTCAAATCCCAGGTCCTCAGGTTCCAGGTCCCAAGGTTCCAGGTGCCAGGTACCAGGACCCAGGTCCACAGGTTCCAGGTCCTCAGGTCGGATCCAGGAGCTGCCTCATAACCTTTGTACATTTTATATTTGAAAATAAAGAGAGAACAAGATAACTGTCTTTTAATTTCTTCATGTTATCATACGTAGGAGGTTATCTAAGATAACCCAGGGTAGGGAGGGTTCTCCATCCAAGATAACCCAGGGTAGGGAGGGTTATCCATCCAAGATAACCCAGGGTAGGAAGGGTTATCCATCCAAGATAACCCAGGGTAGGGAGGGTTATCCATCCAAGATAACCCAGGGTAGGATGGGTCATCCATCCAAGATAACCCAGGGTAGGGAGGGTTATCCATCCAAGATAACCCAGGGTAGGGAGGGTTCTCCATCCAAGATAACCCAGGGTAGGGAGGGTTATCCATCCAAGATAGCCCAGGGAAGGGAGGGTTCTCCATCCAAGATAACC